TAATGGCTTTTTATAATTATCTTTTTCTTTGTGAATGATATGTAGGGATCGAAGCTTGCTCGGCTGCCTCCTCCAGATAATATTTTTGAAGTCCTTTTAATAGGTTTGATTTAATTTTTTCCCCTCCGTTTTCATTTGATATGTTTGTGTGCTTATATCATATTATTTCTTATGTCGTGCAGTTCCTAAGGGTGTGCTTTATGGCTGTGGCGATCTAATATTTTCCTCACACATGATATTCTCTCTAGTTTTTGTGCGAACATATCATAAATACGGCACGCGAAGGTAATTTAGGGAAAAATAAAATCATACTTCATAATTATTTCCGGTTTCATTTTTTTAACAACCACTTTACAATTTTTTTTTTCCTGCCAGTTTTATAAAGCAGCTTGCATGGGTAACTGTTATAATCCAAAGCTTGTTGATTGTGGCATCACGAAAGCACTACACAGTTGATGTTATCGTGGCATGGTAATAACCGAGATGCAAATCAAGTATTTTATTTCTCGTAAAGAACCTTTTTTTGGAAAAAAAGTAAACACAAATGAAATAAAGACTTAGAAATGCGAAAAATTTCGAAATGTTTGTTTTTTGTTTTCCTCACAGGTACACAGTTAATTTGGTCGTGTTCTTTATCGACAAAAAGTTGCCAGGTTTGTGTTTACACTTTGAGTTAGCTCTACAAATCCTTTGTATTTCATTTGTCGATTTTTGTTGATTGACCAACTGGGTTTTTTGGTTTTTTTTTTTGTTAATATATATATACAGAACTTCCCGACCGTTCTAGTGGGGCCACCCTTTTCCTCCCGGTGACAAAAGATAACAGGAGTAAGGAAGAGAATCATAAGCTGATTAATGGAAACTCTGGAGATTCAGCCGATTGGGTAAAAATTTAGCTTCTTTTGAAAATACCTAATTTAGCTTCTTTTATTTCTGCAAAAAATGAGATAAAGATTTTTATTGGTTATCTTATAACTCGTATTTTTCGCCTGACAACTTTAGCTTCTTCTGAAAATACCCCTGAAATTTTGTCCTAACTACTCCTACAAAAAGAACCCAATTTAGCTTCTTTTTTCTTTAAAATGAAATAAAGATTTGTGTTGGTTATCTTATTATAGCCCGTATTTTTCGCCTTTTATCAGAGGCCGAGAACTCAAGTAAACGGCAAGATTATGGAAGATGGAAATGTTGTGCATGTTGAAGCAGTTATCAACAGTGTTTAGTTGAAGAGCTTTTAATCAATCACAAATTTGTCCAGGTGAAAAAAAAGTTCTTCAGATACTTGGTACACAACACTTGTAATTTAGGTCATGGAGTCAAGTTTATGTGTAGTCAAGGATATTGCATTATGGAAACAAGTGTTATATATTAATTACAGTTAATGACTGCATATTTATTTAATTGTTTGTTTGTTTGTTTATTTATTTATTTATTTTTGCCAATTTGGATATAGAAAGTGGGTCTGATAAGCATTTGTTTGTTGAACTATTTAAGTTGATGCATTTGAATTTTTTATTTTTTATGTCAAGTGTGTTATGAAATTTACTCTTAGTAATAAATTGTTATTATTTGGAAATTTTTACATAACATTTTCTAAAAATGTTTAGACATATAAATATATATATAGAGATTTATTGATGTGTTCCCAGAATAAAATTGAAAAGGACACTATAATAGGAAGAGAGTCTAAACAAATTGAACTTTAGTTGGTAGTGAAAGAGACATATTATGCTGCTATGTTCTTGTGCAATAAAAGACATCAAAATAACATCATTTCACTTTAAATTTTCTGTCCACAAGTATAATCTCATTTATGACTAGACAGTTGGGTTCGTTAAGAATCAAACAATTCGCGCAAAATGACAGCAACTGAATCTATAAAAACTAGTTCATAATCTATTTAAAATATATGAGAATAATTTGCAAAAGTTACAATATCACTTCAACTTCAATCATTATTCCCAAAATCGAGCTCATTCGGTCCACTACAAAATAAATCCATGTCTGACGACTTGCCTGCTCGAATATTGTGAGTAAATATTCTTTCCTTCACATTGGAGGTCGGTTATTTCCTAGTAGTTGGCCGATTAAGTTTGTCACCTGTAATAAAATAAGTCCATTCTTAAAGCCAGATATATATGCGCATGAAATAACTTGAAACATTACGTAACTTTGTTCTCCTGAGATAACTTCGTACACACATGTTTAAAGTGTATTTCTTCATGATATATTGGATAGATGGTTACATGTATCTTTTGGAAAGGCGAATAATTGAATCATGGTTAATACTAGACGAATCAGGCCCCAAAAGACTTTTAAGACAATGATAATCCTTCTTTACTTAAAGCCCTAGATTTTTTTTAGTCGATTAACATGTAACAATCTCCGTTTTTTCTTTTTCTTTTTAACCAAACAGGAGTCAGTAAATTAAACCCCATTTGATAGCATTAGCTAGATGAAACTCATCAACCCACAACAAAGACTACATCTTTGCTAACTAAAAAAAAAACCCACTAGAGTTATAAATAGGCAAGTTTATAACTTTATACCACATTGATCAACTCTCGTATTATATAAAAGGGATGTGCACAAGCCAACTATACCTACCTGCCAATACTTCGAAACACACCGATCAATGCAGCTGTTTTCACCCATGTTTAGTTCGGATTCTTTGTATCTGAAGAAAAAACAGGAAAATTCGCCTTCCCTTTGATTACGTGCTTAAAATGATTCTAATTATAAACATTCCTAAATGATACCAACTGCAACATCTCAAAAACCATATGATACACAATAATCAAATTTCAAGAAAATATATGGATTCTAGCATTCTGTAATACATACTTGTGCTCGACACATTTGTTGAAACACGTGTGCGTAAGCCTGAAGCAGAACAAAGGTATCATCAGCACATTCATAAGCAAATACTTCGATAAAAAGGTGAGGTAAAGTTGGCAAAGATAATGTTTTTTTCATT